CATATATGGCAAGAAGATCATCGTCGAGTCAGACCACAAGCCGTTGGAGCACATATTGACGGTTTACAATACAACATTGTAAATACAACACCATCCACATTTTGATGTTGTCAGTCCAGGGAGTTGAACTGGCGACCTTTTGATCACAGGCTCGCCTTCTCTAATCTCTGTGCCATCACTCCCCCATACTTGAATTTCTGCAACATTTTAGAAAAAAAAACACATGTAGGGCAATAATATCTTTATTTTTGTAAATTTTACATAATATATTAAGAAATAAAACCCACTGTCATTTGTCCATTAAGGCAGGTTGTCTCCCGCCACCATACTACAAGATTCACCGATGCATCAACAGTTTTTCAAGTGCAATAAAGTTCAATCTGGTCCTCTGGACATTAAAAAAAAAAAAGGCAAAAAAATGTAGAAACGTTTCGTCTCTCATCCGAAAGACTTCCTCAGTCTGAGGTGCTGTATTCAGCTCAGTCTCTTAAATAGCACCTTCTCAGAGTGGATCAACCAGTTTGCTGCTGACAACCAAAACCAGCTGTTCACATGGTCAAGAAGGCCCATCAGCCTAACAATGGATCATTAGCACCATGATGGCTGTTTACTATTCACAGGGGGTTGAATGATACTAGCAATAACAGCATTGTAAGATGGGGACAGTTGAACCCGGAGGCCTCCACCCCTGTTTAATGATGGACGATTTCTTTTCACAAAGATGGCCTCCTTTACTCCTCTCAAACCATCGTTCCTCTCTGTCCAGGATGTAAACATCTTCATTCCTGAAAGAGTGACCGCTGACCTGGAGATGAGTGTAGACCGCAGAATCCTGGCCTGATGATGTTGATCTTCTGTACTGGGCCATCCTTTTGGCCAGTGGCTGTTTAGTTTCCCCAATGTAAGACTGATCACAGCCCTCCTGACACTGAACAGCATACACAATATTACTCTGTTTGTGCCGGGGGACTGGATCTTTGGGATGAACCAGTCTTTGCCATAATGTATTTTGGGGTTTAAAAGCCACTGGGACGTTATGTTTAGAAAATAAATGTCTCAGTTTCTCTGATACTCCCTCAACATACGGACTTCAACTGTCCCCCTCTTACAATGCTGTTATTGCTAGTATCATTCAACCCCCTGTGAATAGTAAACAGCCATTTGTGTGCTAATGATCCATTGTTAGGCTGATGGTCCTTCTTGACCATGTAAGCAGCTGGTTTTGGTTGTCAGCAGCAAACTGGTTGATCCACTCTGAGAAGGTGCTATTTAAGAGACTGAGCTGAATACAGCACCTCAGACTGAGGAAGTCTTTCGGATGAGAGATGAAACGTTTCTAAATTTTATTTTATTTTTATGAATGTCCAGAGGACCAGATTGAACTTTTTTGGATTTTTCTACCTGGATTATTGAGCATGCATCAGGATAGTTTTTCAAGTGTATACATTTCAAATTGCACAAGTAAGAATATCCCGTGCATACAAATGCACAGAAGATGCACAGCTGTGGCTGAGTGGTTAGAGCAGTCGTCTTCCAATGCAAGAGTTGCGGGTTCGATTCCACCAGCAGTCACATGCCAAAGTGTCCCTGGGCAAGACAATGTCCCCCTCATTGCCTCCAATGTGTGTCCCATCATTGTGTGAATGTGATAAAGCTCTGATTAGTCTTTGTACAGATCTAGTAGAGTGCTGTATGAATGGGTAAATGAGGCACAGATTGTGTTGTTAAGCACTTTGAGTATCTTGATTAAAAAAGCGCTTGTGCAGTCCATTTACCATTTACAACTAGTCAAATACATGTGCACAAATCACCTGCTGTGGACAGATCAGTCAATTTGAGTGCACAGATGAGCTGTTTGTGAATGTGACGTTTGATTGCTGCGTTCAAGGCTACTGAAAAGCTGGGACAACTGACTCTACCAGACATACTTGGTTATTGGGAATAGACCCATTTCTAACTTGGCACAAAAGCTCATAACTCCCATATTAAAACATAAATGCTTATTATCTGGTATTTTTAGCAGAGGAAAATATATTTAAAGTGTATGCGTTTTAATGATGCAGTCTCTATTTTGTCAATTATCTTATCATAAACAATAGGAATTTTTTTGGATGCTGATTATATTGAACATTAGCATTTCTTGAAAATCTTTACAACTGTAAGTTAGTAGAAAATAAATCTTATGACCTACTCTTGGTGTAACATCTTTATAGATCAACTCGGGTGACACGTCGGGTCATTTATTGATGTATAATCCGCCGGGAGTTTATATGCATGTTCATATCCTTATGACATTCCTGCATATTCTTGAAGGAATAAATTAGATTAGAAAACAAAATAATCTACTTTACTTGTCAATCTGTTTTCCACAACACAATGCTATTTTCCCCTAACCAAAAATCACGGTTTGACATGACGTCATGCAGGACATCATGCCGACTTCAAGAATGTGTACGTTTGAAAAACTGTTATTTGTGAATCTTGTAGTGCACATTTGTAAAACGCAAGGTACATTTGTAAATTTGAAGCAATCTGCTGGCTCCTTAAATAAATATTGTTATTAACTGATTTTTATGTATGTGAATGTTCCTGTTCAGTGTCCTGAGATGACTTCTGCTGTGAATTGGTGCTAAATAAATAAACTGAATTGAATTAAATTAAATCTCATTGTACACATAAATCACTATGGAGGAGGATTAGGGCCACGGTGCAAAAAACTTGTTTCCCTTTTTTCTGCGAAAAAAAGTCAGAATTCTGAGATGTAAGTCAAAATTCTGACTTTTTTTCTCGAATTGAATTGAATTGAAAATTAAGGAAGAAAAAAAATTTGCACCATGGCCCTAATCGTCTTCCGTAAATCACGGTGTATGGCGTGTGTGACAACTTTTGACACTGATTTATCTTCAGAGTTTTTACTTCATGAATTTTGAGAAAAAAGCTGGAGGATGGAGGTCCACACGCCCGACCTGCAGGGGGAGGTAATGTAGTTTATCAATCAAAATTAACCCACGAAGAAGAAGAGTCACGTGACCTGTTGGCTTGTTTGTAGCCGGCTCGCGCGTCTTTCTTCAGTTAGCTGTTCTGTGTGGACTTGAGGAGAACAACAAGTCTAAAGCCAGTTCGGATCCACAAGTTATTCAATCAGATCATGTCTTACAGAACCAAAGGCAGCCGAGGAGACGCTTCCAACCTGGAGAACCAACACCGGTATGTTGTGTGTTCATCGTACATAGCTAGCTTGTGTTATTAGTCGACCTGTTGTTGGCTGTAAAAGCCCATAGTAAACGCTAAACCCAGTCAGTATGCATGTGTTGATGTATTTCTGTATGTATTCAGAGAGTAAAGTGGGTCAGGGTTCGGCTCGGGTTTTCCCGCCGCTGAAGACAGATGTTTCGTCTGCAGTAGGAAGCAGATGGCGGGAGAAGCTTTGTCTCCTCGCTACATTTGGTTTGAATGAAATTTAAATGTTTTCTCCTCCTGTCCAGACAAGCTGCCTGTGTTTACTGGACACAAAACTATCCAATGTGTCCCAAAGTGAACATTCAACAGAACAAGATTAGTAAAAGTTCATTTATAAACTCCGTAAAATCTGTAGAACCGAGCCTGATTCAACTCTGAGGAAACTCTAGCCCTCAAACAATTAACAAAACAGAAACATTATAATCAAACCAGCAGGTAAGAGAAGCTCGATTATTATAATGGATAAGGAACAATATCTGGGAAGGTTACAGAAAACTTTATAACAATAATTATTATTTAAAATGATCTAAACACACACACATATATACATATATATATATATATATATATAGATTTATATATATATATATATATATATATATATATATACATTTTCTTAGTTCATATCTTAGATGTTATTACTGTTTTTCTTATACATTTTATTGTTGGACGTAACTGGGACCTTGTGTACATAATTTCGCTCCACCACATGTACCACATGAGGTGCGAATGACAATAAAGAAACTCTGACATACATATATATATAATACATATTTATATATATATATATATATATATAATACATATATATATACATACATATATATAATACATATTTATATATATATATACATATATATAATACATATATATACATATAATACATATATATATATATATATACATTTATATATATACATTTATATATATACATTTATATATACATTTATATATATACATATATACATATATATATACATATATATATATATATATATACATATATATATACATACATATATAATACATACATATATATGTATATATACATATACATATATATATGACACCATCCCTATTATTAAGAACACAATAATTTATGTAATAAAAATTAAAAAAGTATCTGCTGGGCAGTATCTGATCAGACTCCAGGAGCTCCAGCATTTCAACCTGAACTTTGTTTCCTTTAAGGTTGATAGGCTTGGTCCAAAGAACTTTAGTGTGAATATTTTTGGTGCTATTTCAACAATTCATATTTCAAAAGGTTCAGCTCATTCAGAATATTCCTGCTGTGACTTTTGGTATTTGTGCAATTTTTACTTTTTAAATATTTTCCTTTGTCAGACATGTTTTTCTCATTGAAAATAAATGGAGCTCTCCACATCCTTTGTGCTGTTTACAGCTTGTTCATGTTTATTGTCATTCACACATAGGCGTCGCAACCATTATATGTGAAGGGGACAAGTCCCCCCCACATTAAAAAAACGTTCATTTGGATCCCCCCACTTTTACTATGAAACGTTCAGGCGGCGCAGTTTCTCTTTCTTCGTGAACAAATCCATTCCACTTGATTAATAGGAGAATACTCAATCTAATAAAACTCCACTCCAGGTTTTCCTGGTTACCTCCACCTCTACACACAGAGCAGAAACTGTGCAGGCAGCCGCTGCTGAGTCTCCTGCTTTGGTAGAAAACGTGCACAGGTGCAGGAAATGGAGACACCTCTGCGTTGCTCACTCGCCAGTTTAGCAGCTTAGTGCAGGCAGTTGTTGACCAGGGGGGTTGATCATCAACATATATTCATGTTAGGAGGATGCTTGAGTGCAGCGCTACGTCTATAGCATGTTCTCTTAGCAGTAACTGTGACGCTGCAGGTGTAAGAGATGCTGTGTGTTCAGGTGCATTAAAGTTGAAATGTCTTTAAAATCCCACACCTTATTGTCCTCAAGCTTCGTGAGAAACATCATTTAGATGAGTAGTGTTGAACACAAGTAAAAATGTCTAGTGGTGATGTTTTTTATTTCTCTATAAACACAAATAGTGCAGATCTGACGCTCTGTATTAAAGTGTATTAAAGTTAAAATGTCTCTAAAACCCACAGCTGAATTTACACAAACTTGGTGAGAAATATGCTTTAAATGTGTGGAATTAAAGCAAATCTAGGTGAAATGTTGCTTGTTTTGTACATTAGTGCACATTTCTTTTGCGCACGTGCGCACACGCGCGCGCACACACCTACACACATCGTTGTGTCCCCCCCACATTACGGATGCTTCTGACGCCCTTGAATTCACATGTGGTACATGAGGTGGAACAAAATTGTGTACAGTACACAGGGTCCCAGTTACACCCAACAAACCAAAAATATAAAGTGTATTTCCTGATGCATGCTCAATAATCCAGGTAGAAAAATCTAAAAAAAAAAAAGTTAAGTCTGGTCCTCTGGACATGTTTTATTTTTTTGAATGTCCAGAAGACCAGACTTAATTTTATTAGATATAAAGTGTATTACTGCTCATTTCAGCTTCTTTTCTGATCATCAAAGTTCATGTTCAATAATCCAGGTTAAAAAAAATCAAAAGTTAAAAGGACTTCCGGTGACATCATGACAGGAACAGCAGTGTAAGAGCAGAGCTCCGTCAGAATTGAGAAATATATTGACAACAATAAATTTTGATAACCTTCAGTCCTGTAAGTAATAATGAGTTCCTCCACGAGACAAAAGACAGCTAAACAAGGGACCTCAAAGAAAACAGAAGACGACCAACAGAAATCACTTAGCCCAGCTAATGCTAGCTTAAATGCTAGTCGCCAGTTAACCAGTGAGTCCACACTTTTGGACGAGATTAAAAAACTTTGTGAAGAGAATAAGCAGGGTCACAGTCAGACCAAATCATCTTTGGACCACTTAGAGCAGTCGGTGGCAGATATCAGGAACCAAATTGGTGTACATGAAGAGAAAATCACTGTTTTAGAAGAACGGATGAGTTTGGCTGAAGATACCGAGGCACGACAGCAGAGGGCGCTTCGACACCTGCTCCGCCATGAGACAGAACTTGCAGCGATGTGTGACAACCTTCAAAACAGACTGAGAAGAAATAACTTGAGAATATTTCAAATACCGGAGGGATGTGAAGGTGAAAATATGATTACATTTGTAACAGACCTACTACACAAAGTACTGACACTTCCACCTGAAATAGAAATCAAAATTGACAGAGCACACCGCTCATTTCAATCAAAACCAAAAGACGCAGTAGCGCCTCCCAGATCAATCATCGTGAGGTTCCTGGACGCAGCGGTCAAAGACCGGGTCTTACAGCAAGCATGGAACCAACGGCAGGTGCTATTTCAAGAGAAGAGAATTTATTTTGACCAGGACTACTCTCCTGAGTTACAAAACAAGCGGGCCAAAGTCCGTGCAGTAATTAAACAGCTTAGACAAAAAGGCCTCCACCCCTGTTTAACGATGGACGATTTCTTTTCACAAAGATGGCCTCCTTTACTCCTCTCTCAAACCATCGTTCCTCTCTGTCCAGGATGTGAACATCTTCATCCCTGAAAGAGTGACCGCTGGCCTGGAGATGAGTGTAGACCGCAGAGTCCTGGCCTGATGATGTTGATCTTCTGTGCTGGGCCATCCTTTTGGCCAGTGGCTGTTTTGTTTCCCCGATGTAAGACTGATCACAGCCCTCCTGACACTGAACAGCATACACAACATTGCTCTGTTTG